TCCCAATTCAAGTACATAATTTGAATGAGGATGGTACCACACCTTGCATTACCCTAACATTTCTTTGAAACCATCATCTATTTGTTGAGTGAGGTCTTTTCTATTCGCATCTCATGCATAAAATCTTTTGAGATAGAAACGACAAGTTCCATTCTTCCATTATGAGTAGTCACTTTGGCTATCTAGGTGAGTTGAGAGATTCTTGATGCTTCACCGGTTTAAAAACGGTTTTGGGATGGGTAATGAGTATATATGGGTGTGAGTTTTGGTGAGAGATGAAAGGGAAGAAAAGAATCGAAAAATGGTTAGCATGTTTGCCAATTGGAGGAGTTTCATGACAGACACGAAGTGGAGGTACGCGCACATAATGACAACAGTTGCGGAGCCATAGAGCTGCGTTTCCTTCTCCAACCAATCGTAGATGAAGACAAATAGCCTGAGTGTTCCAATAGTGCTAACTCCCCTTATCACTTGGAAGAGAAACCAGTACTCGTTCAACTTGATAACAACCCATGGCGTCGCCTTATCTCTCAAGCAAAAGAGACCGACAATCACAACCATCTCAACACAGCCATAAACACAAATGAAATTCAACAGTTGTGCAATGTTTGTTCAATTTTGTTCTAAGAGGCTCCAAAGATCATGAGGAGCTCTGATACCATGTTGGATTCTGCAGAAAATTACAGGTGACTTTCATCATCTCTTGTTCTCTCTTCTAACTCTTGTTCTAAGACACAAAAAACAGAGCAACATTTTTTGTTGTAGAAACCTTATAAAAGAGAGAATGAGCTAAAGAGAACTGACTTTTGCATATATTTTTCTCACAACATATCATCTTACATATTTATAAAAAAAATATCAGAGAATTAGTCTTTGTTTTCTCCCAATGTTCTAAAAATCGTTCTAGGCGGCACTATGTCCCTATAAACCGTGGATATTTTCGCTTTTGCCGCCTAAAATATTATGATATTATAATAATAAAATAATATAAATGTTTTTATATATAACTCGTAATATTATATATATTACTGTAAAATGATGAATATAAATATAATATAAATTTTATTATTTATAAATTATGATTTTTAATACATTTTATTATATATATTTAATATATTATGTATTTTTGTTAAACGCTTAAACCACTTATTAAATCGTCTAGGCTCTGTTTAGGCGTTCTAGGCACTAGCCATTGGGTCACCGCCTGTTTAGCGCCTAGCGCTTTCTTGAACATTGTTTTCTTCATTACATATTTATAGAAGATGTTTTGGTTGAATGCGCATGAATTAAGAAAAATAAAATATAACCAAAATATTATTAAATAACTGGTTAGAAATATAATTCAACCAATCATATACAAGACTATAGAATTTAAAATGTCAAAAGTACATAAATAACATTAAAATCTGCATAGAAACTAGTAAAACATCTTATAGAATGGAACAAAATAAATTTTCTTAAACATCATATATAACAGGACAGAGGGAGTATGAGATTCTAAAACATTGGCTAAGCTACTATATACCAAATATCTAAGCTTTAAAAATTTATTAACTATGTATACCGGGTATATTAATATAATAATTATGTTGAGTATATAATATAAAGTATTGAGTAATTGATATTATATCCGAAAAATACTGATATTACCTGAAACCAAAATGTCGATAAAAACAAAAATATACCTAAAATCAAAAAGGGTTAATTTGGTGTTTAGCAAAGAAAAAAATTATAACATAAAAAGTAACCAAAAACCCTATATCCAATGGTTATTATTTTGCCACATAGACCACTTTTGGTTACTTTTTATGTTATAATTTTTTTCTTTGCTAAACACCAAATTAACCCTTTTCCTTACGGACTTTCCGTTATTCGCAGAGAGTTCTAAGGCGGCTAGCTCTTGGGCCTGCTCCAGATCGACTCACTCCGATAAAGGCCCAGCTGGTGGCCAGTTAACCTTTGGCTCGTTGGTTTAATGTCAAACCATTGTCTTGTTAAACGGCCGACCGTTTAACTCAACACTTAATCATTTTCAGGATTGTTGATTCCAGTGGGAGGAATCTGACCCAACAGAGTTCTTCGAGCTAAACCTTGTTAAACCTGAGAGGGGAGAGCCGTGGCATCGCCAGAGGAAGATCGCAGGTGTG